TTCTGTACAAATAATAAAAAATAGTTTGATATTTCATAAGAAAATGAAACAATATGTAATATTGCATTGCATATTTTAGAAAACAAATGTTTAATTTTGTTTTTGCTACCTAAAAGTAAAAGTCAATACAATATAAATGACTAGAGGTCTTGTGAATAAGCCTTATTTTAAAAAATGAATAGGATTAATTCGGATTTTTATTATCAAAACAGGAAAACAGACAACTTACATAAAACATTGTTTCAATTGGTTTTAATTCAATTCTACATCTTCAGTGTACAGATTTTTTCAAAGAGGAAATAAAAATTATTTATATTTTTGTAAAAGTACAAGGTGTTTTTCAATACAATATCTTTCTTTTTGTGTATTTGTAAATAATGTTAAAGAATACAAATGAAAAAAATAACAATAATAAAATAATAATGAACTGAATTAAAAATTTAGGCACAATCGTATACTAGGCAATATTGTCCAGCAGCAACATCCAGTGATAAAACTACTGTCATTAAAAGTATCTATTTTAACAGTGAGCTGTTCGTGACTTCATATATATAACAGCATGATATGAAAAAGTATGTCTATATAATTATTAGTATATTATATATTTATGTATAACATACAGCACTGTAGAACAGGGAATTGCAAATGCTGGAAAATAATCTCTTAAAAGGTACTAGCTAAAGCTGTTGTTTGTACCTCTCCAAAGCACAGGGTCTGAGGGTCTCATCATTTTACAGAAGTGAACAGAAACAGTTTTTGAAAACGACATTAACATTACTCCTGTTTTTGAAACTAAAGGAGGATCCAGAAAGTTTTTTGAAGCTCGGCATTCATACTGAGCTATTTAAATTGTTTTGTCACCCTATCTTGGAGACGCAAAGAACTCTAAACAAAACCAGATCATTTTCTTTTAGTGTTCAGGTATCTTAACACACAAAGTAAAAACAACATTTCTATTTTGTACCTGATTTGTGCATATTGCTTTACAGGAGTACATGAATTAGTAACTGCAAGAGTCTGGACTGATTTTATTTACATTAAAACAGTTTTCAGTGCTGCATCTTTTGTACACAAATCTCCAGCATACTGTATGAAAGAGATTATGTTTTCTTTAACAGCAATGGCAGTAGTCTTTTTATTTATAAAAAGCCACGACAAGAGTATAACTTGTGAGTAAAGAGCTGAAGGAAGTTACAAAATTAATAAAATTGTTGGTGTTTTGGAAACCCTGTTTTTAAAAATAATAACAATGAAAAATACTGAATTCAAAGTCACTTACGGCAGCAATCAGTATAGGTTGGGAACACTCATGATCTCATTTTCCCCTGTTAGACTGCAGATTTAAATTTATTTAGGCAGTGTGTATTCTCCAAACAATTATGGATTTAATAGGCCTTCAATGCTACATTATTCCTGGTTGAATAGCATTATTTGTTACAGGATTACAAGAGCATGACTAAAGAAACAATATGTAGCATATGGGCTTCATTACACTGCTTGTGGATTATATGTTCAGCAATATCATCCAGCAGCAACATACAGTGATAAAACTACTGTTATTAAAAGTATTCATCCACAGGTATAGCACAAAATGTTGGATGATTGGTGATGATTAACAGACAAGTGGTGGTGACACTCAAAATCTTACTCTTCAGGATGAAACTTGTATATTTATAACTGAGTCCAAACTGAGTTGCGGGGTGAATCCACAAGTGAAAACAAACAGGGCAAATGTAAAACAAGTAATATCATACTAGGCGGGCATACAATCATTAAATATCTGATGCTCATTCAATGTAAACTGAAAAATGTAAACTTGACTGCAAGAAAAAACAAGGAAGATTACCATTAGTAAACAAGAAGGTATTAGTATTTTCTTAAATACATGACCCAGAAAACAGCGCAGACAGTGCTCCTACTTTTGATCCACTTTCACCCACTTTCCATTGTTGCTTGAAAGAAAGAAATAACAATGAAACTAGTTCTTTCTGTAAAAATGCAGAAATAACATTTGAAACTGTTGTGAGTTTGTAAGGTGCTCGGAAACACTTTATTTTCAACTGAAAAAAAGGCTGCTTTAAAACTGAAACTAAAAAACTAAAAAAAACAAAAGAATGATTTTCTTGCTGTTCTGTTGTTGAAGTAAAATTTTGGTTTTGGTTTTATCCATCAACTTTAAATATGAGTCCGGACTACTTAGCAGAGACAAGTTTGCACAATCACACAACAATATACCAACTTCTAGAAGTAGACATCACATATATTTAAGGTGGTAGAGAAATAAGTACTGGAACAATAAGTAATCAAAAGGGAACTTAGAATCTAGAGTGAATAACAAGAAATAACATTAGTATGAACAAGAAATGCAAAATTCTATTTAAGTTGGAGGAAAAATTACCGCTTTAGCTCATCTCTTTGAATTCAGGATCCTGTAACATCACAAATGCTAAAAGTTTAATTTAAACAGAACAGGCAACTTCTAAATGCTTTTTTTTTCAATCTCCAGTTGATTTCTGTGAATGGAATCCACATACTCAAACTTTGTAAAGCCTCTGCTCAAAATACTACTGCTCTCAGATTATGCTACCGAACTCATTCTAAACGTTTAAAATTACCTTAAGGAAAACCCACAGTTAATATTATCAAGCTTTAAGCATTTTTAAGGTAGAAATATAAAACCGTCATTCCCACAGTAGATAAAAAACATGTTATGCTTTAGTGAGAAACATGTGTAAATTTCAGTGAAACATATTACTCACAAAAGTGATACAAGGTATCAATAATGTTACAGCTCTTGATTATTGACTTTGTCCTATCAGTGACTGGATTTAAGTTTACAGTAAATGGATGGAAATCCCACATGTAAAAAATATGCTATTACATACAAGAAGATGCACAAGACAGAATAGCTATGGAACTGTAATTTCCCTGACTTAGTGAATGTTTTTTTTAAATATGGTCACCAGCCAGTTTGTTTACCATAGCCTGTTTTTGACAGCATGCCATAGCTAAGCCAGCTTTATCTCAAATAAATATTTCAGTACTACTCAACTGTAATGTGGTCTGGAATTAAAGCACAGTATAACACATAACTCCAGCTCTACAAAGTGGGCCTTGTCTTTTGGCATAGTAGTATTGGATAGTAGTGCTTAAAGTTCAATTTTTAACTAGTTTCAGATTTCACTTAAAATCCAGAGCTGTAGCTCTGTTATAATATAATTTCAACAGATTTCAATAGCTGGCCACTATTGGCATAGGCATTAAACTGCAAACCTGTGTACAGTTTCAGAAAGCATAGTCTTTGCTATGACAGTTGAATATGCAAAAATCAATGCATTCTGGGCATTATATTTAAAAAGCAAATCTTTAAACTTCCAGTACACTAAAGCAGCTACACTTGTATTCACTTCATATTTGCACCATGTAAACCACTTGCTTTGTCTTAATATGTACTTAATGCTATATGCCATAAACAGAACGAAACACAGTGATATTTGGATTGAATTTGGATTAAAGTGATGAACAATTTAAGAACGGTTAAGTGAAATATTCTACAATGCTCCTTTTAACACGTTTGAAAAGGAAGAGAATGTTAACAGCAAACACTTTGTGAAATGGTGCAAAACTGAAAAGAACAGTGGTACAGCTCCATAAAACAAGAACAGCAGATATTACAGATGTACAGCTATTACAAAAGTAATCAGATTTTGGGTTATACACGAAAGATTTGCAGACTTATATATCCAGTTTTTCCACATAATCATACAACAAACAGTGTTTAGCAGGACCAAGTGGGTTACACCAGTGTTAAATTAAGAATACTTTGCAAAATGGCTCTTTTTCTGATTGAAGGCTTATAATCCTGAGCTGATTATTCAGACACAGCGCCCACCATGAGTCACAAAAGTGCTAGAATATAGATTTTCACTGGTGCCTTGAAATATTAAAATATCTGAAACATTCCCAAAATCCTTAGTAAGTGAAAACAAATTCCCAGACCAACTTTCTTTAAGACGCCTTATTCTTAGCTAGTACTGTCAATAGATATTGTAGTGATCACTTGTCTCTGAACATTTTATAAAAATTGGCATTACACCCTTTAAAACTTTACATATCATTCATAAACAGACTATTTTTTTTTTCAAAAGTACCATTTAAAAGGTTTGAGCGCAAGCATATCAGTGTAGGAATAACTTATGTTCCATTTACAAATTTTTCACTCACATTTTTTTTTCTGAAATTCATTTTTACAAATAACATACTGACCCATCCATTGCTTCTGAACTTGGAATTGCTTTGCATTCTTCTTATTAATAAATAAAACATTATTTATTAATTACAGTGAATGCACACATTCACTGTAATTTATCTAACTATAATGACTAAGGCTGCCTCATTTCTTGAAGCAGACTTATTGATACGTTCTAAAAATAAATATTCAGTGTTCTCCGACCTGCAAATATATTCTATTAATCTCAAGTACAGTATCTTAGACAAGCAGATTCAGAGTAGAGCAGAATAAATTCTGCATCTTATAGAAAGGTATTAATGTGGTATTCCTACAAGTAGTCTGTTAAAAAAAGAAAATGATTACATCATAAAGACAGGCACAGATTTAACAGTAACAAAACCTGAAAAAAATCTTCAAAGTAACATAATGATAAAACACTTAGCAAATTTAAAAAGCAGACATGCTGTACTGTAGAATTTGTACACTGAGCTAAAGCAAACAGCTTTCCAAACTGCTGTTTCCACATAAGACTGCTCCAGTTTAAATCATCAGAAAGCAAGTTTGTGAAATACCCACAAAATGTATCCGGAACTCAGCTTGTTCATTACATGCCTTCCAAAACTGCTTTCAGTTTCAGTTCAGTTTTGTTACACTTTTGAAACACCTTTCTCTAACATTTGCATCCATCTCTACGTTTTGAAAGAATGTGAAATACATTCACTGATACACGGGGTGTTTGCAGGTGCTGAATTCTGTTTGCGTTGTTTTTCGTACAACCCTAACACACAAGTCAAGTTCCGTATGCCATTTGGAGCCTAGCAAAAACAAAACCAGCTTTCTAGAATTTTGCCTCAAGCATCATCTTCTGTGTTTTGCAAGAAGGAAGCAGTCGTAGGTAGAGCAGCACATTTGGCAGACCGACATCTTTAACCCTTTCACCTTCTGAGATATTTTTTTGGCTCACTGTCCAAACTGCCTTTTTTTTTGGAGAGAAACGTTAAAAAATAGACCTTACTTATGTAGTCTTGGGGATGTGTGGAGTACCTTAAAAAAAACATACCTGCGGTTTTAGAAAACGTGAGAATTAAAATCTATTTACATGACTGCAAACAACAACAAAAATGTGCACCATGCATGTTTGGTAAGCTTAAATTATACTTCCTCTAATAAAAATATATTATAATTGTACAAAGAGCAGTCACAGACAGGCCAGGTGTGATTGCATACTGGGACTGTTGTCTGTCCAGTGGCAGGGGGAGGGAGATGCCTCTCAGGAGCTTCCCTGGGAGTTCCTCACATTTTTTATTTCCAGTTCCAACTGTTTTATCCGGACATCCCGCTGGCTCAGCAGATCTCTCAACCGCCGGATCTCATCCTGTTGCCGATAGAACATTTGCAAAAGCTGGAAGAGCAATAATAATAACTGTTACACCATACTGTGTATTTGTCAAACTCTTGAACACTTACAACTTTCAGTTAAATATTTGAACTCGCAATTCAAACGTTTGGGGACACCTACAGCCTTTTAACAGAATTGTATTAGACATCCAGTTGAGTTGTTTTGGAAACGTTTAGCTCAAAACACAAGGAATTAGCTAAATTAATTTGCCACCAAATAAAAAACATATGTTTCATTTGGTAGAAAAGGTTTCCTGAGATTAAGTTAAATAAATTCTGTTGGGGTTGCCAAATTTTTAAGTGCTTGGGGAAAAAAAGCTTCCAAAAGCTTCAATCTCAGCTCAAACACAAAAAAGCATATGCAGAATTTCTTCTTGTAGTCCTTTGTGGTAGAATCTGAATCTACTTCTCTTTGTAGCAGCAGAGAGTTAGCTTCATTTAACTCGCTAAAAGTTTAACAAGAACACCTTTTACTCTACACACGTACTGCTCATTATGCAATTGTTTCAATAAACCAACTAACCCTATCATCTGCCTCAACGTGTATCAAAAAAGGCACCCGTCAGAAGACGGCGAACTGAAAATCTGTAATTGTGTCCTTGATTCCTTCACCTTCATTCAAACATTCAAACCAGTTCCGCTAAATTGAATGGTGTTATTTCGATACAGATTTATGTCCACCTGTGAAAAGACCACATCCTCCGCAGTTCCCTCATTTCCATACCTCATTCTCAGTTTTGGGAGGGGTGCAGGCCAAGGGCTCACAGCCGTTCGACACTCCACTGCGGCTCTTGTCGTGGGCCTTCAGGTCATTCAGCGGCTTGGGCTCGTCCGTTTTCATCCTCTCCTGGATCACCATCACCTCCGTCTGGCCCTGGGGGCTCTGGTAGCACTTGGGCTCCAGAGCACCTAGAGGTTCCTTGGGCTTCAGCACAGGGTAGGGCTCAGAGAGCTTGCACCCGGGCTTCAGAGACATCAGAACTGGGTCTGCTCCAAAAGAGTCCGACATATTTCTGTTTGAGACTGAAAGCTTTTCTCTCACCTCCTCAAAAAATATCTATTTGTAATCACCAATCCAGTGGGGTCTACACACTGTAACTGTCATGGACGTCCAAAGGGACTAACCGCGGAGAGCAGGAGAGCGGAAAAAGACCATATGCGTAGAGGCGGAATGGGAAAAAGGCCCGGGCTTGTTAGTGCAAAGAGTTCAGGAGTGCCGTATAGAAACCAATGCCCTCAGGTAGCCGACGTGGGGCGACCTGGTGCTAGGCGGGTCTCAGGACACCTGAACGTCAATGCTGAGCGAGGGCAGAGTGCAAGACCCGGAAATATATAGCCCAAGAGAAAGAGAGGGACCAGAAGGACAGCAGGCAGGAAACTACGGACAGGACAGAGAAGGAGCGCCCTCTGGCTGAAGGGGGCGTGACAGTAACTTTCTCCACTTAACTAAATTCATCCGCTTCCTCAGTTACCTTAGAACGAGACACACTGGGATGCTAAATCCACCAAAATCTATCTATAAAGTTTTAGTAGAGCGTTAGATACCGGTTTCCTCCCACAATCCATAGACATACTGGTAAGATAATTGGTTTAGAAGAAAACTGGCCATGGCGTGCGTGCGTGCGTGCGTGTATTTGTCTCTCTTTGTGCCCTGTGATGGACTGGCATTCCAGAACATCCCTGTTGTTTGCTGGGATAGACTCCAGATCCCGGAAATGGATAAAGTAATAACAAACAATAACAAGAACAAGAAGAAGATTGGATAGAGAGTTGATATGTCTAAATAATTCAGATATGTATCCTGTTATATCTCCTGGGAATGCTTTCAAAGTGGAGGGAGAAAAACATCTGTACAAGGATCTGACCTTTATTGATCCCTCTGAACCACTCGTCAGCAGTCATTGCCGGCTTATTCCCAGCTGTCATTGGGTAGATGTCCTCTTGGTATGACTCAGACTGCAAGAAACAACAAAAGTACCTGCTGTCAACAATCCCCAAAGCTGATCCTCGTCAGGTGTGTGTGACACCTATGAATCACCCCAAAAACAACAATCTCTACATCCTCTGTTAAAAGAGTAATACAACATTGTAAGTTTAAGCACAAGCAGTCAAATCATATCTTATTATCAGATAATATCTGATCTATCCATCTGTTTACATTAATACTTATTATACGCTTTATGGATGAGGGTGATTTACCTGTCTATATGATGGTGTAAAGAGGATGATGAAATACCATAGATAGGCTTGAGCTATTTAAGAAATCAAGGCGTTACAAGAAACAAATATGAGAAACAAAAAGCTCAATATGTCTGAACAAAACAATATTTGCTACAGCTACATGCTTGTACATTGGTTTTATCTTAAGCGCGTGTTTTATTGCACTGGTTGAAACAGAGCCACATTAAGAGCTTGCAAAAGCTGGTGGAATCTCCTACCCGTCGTGGCACGATCATGGAGATTGGTTCAATAAGGCTTTTGATTGTCACCAGTTTATAAAACCTGAAGACCTCACAGGCGCTCACATCCAGTCCTCGCTTTGGCATGATTCCTGAGGGAGAGGGATGTGGACAGAGGACAGATGCTGACATGCAGTGCTGTGTTAAAGGGGACCTGCAGTCCCAATTTCGCAGACCAGTTATTAAATCTCAGTAACAAAATAAGTTCATTGACATTATAAAAAAAAGCACATTTCGAATTAAGCACAAAATCTTGAACTTTGTGAAAGTACTGGAAGTCAGTCTGTTGTGGCAAACTGGAATTTGAGTTCTCATGAACTGCGATGTGATGTGGCCCTTCCTGCTCACTAGTCACTCTAATGACTAATGTAATATGATGTACAAGCGATTAAGTACAGGTTGTGCAGCAGACATTTCACCACAGAAATGTTCCAATGTGATCTGCATGCAGAGTTAACAAGTTAGTAGTATTTGCTGGCAAAACCATCTTGAAATTGAAAGCAATATTTCTATTGGATTAAAAGAGATGTGTTCACAAGCCTGCTTGTTTACAATGTAATAGGGCTGTTTCATGTCACCAGAAGTTTTGTTCTGGATCGTCGAACACCTGCAAATCTGGTCTACTTTTGTGATATAAATTGGAAGTTTTACGAGTTACTGTGTACATTTTACTTTTATTGTGGTTAGATCATTCATTAATGCTGATTCTTTCTCAAAATATAAAAATAGCATTGCAGTACCCCTTTAAAGCATGCACACTCAGGGATCTTAAAACAGAGAAACAGCTCTTGACACAGTTTAAGGATGGGGGGATGTTAAATAGTGTGGATTCTGTCATGAGAGTGATATGATTGTGCAAAACAGGAAGAAAAGGCAGCTGGATTTGTGTGTATATTATTAATCCTTAAACTGAGCTTCTGAACATGGTGATTCAAACAAAAGGTACCAAACATCAATACTAATAATAATATATATTAATAATATTGATTAACTACCAATCAATATTTCTGTGTTCAAAGTTTTATTCTATAGTGCTCAATAGTCTTTTACAGACTCAGAGGAAGCCCTATGGAGAGTAGAAGTGGCAAACTTACCCATTCCTTTCTGAGGTAGGTGTGATCGGTATTCTGTTAGGAACTGCAGGTATGGCTTCTCTGAGCTGATTTCATAGTACCTGATATTGCCATCACCCTGCAAGCAGACAGACCCACACTGCTTCAATGACAGTGAGTTCAGACACACATAGAAGGACATAGGACAAATTACATTCCTCGTTCACTATCTGAAAACAAAATAAGAAAGGTATGTTTACAAATCATAAAAATAAATTTAAGTTTCGCTATTAAAAATAGTTTTAAAAAGAACCCACAAAACAATTTCATTATTTTTACATTAGGTGACTTATGATGAATATAATCTAATAAACTTGGTGCTGTAATTTTTACAAATGCTTTAGAATGCAAGGATACGATAAGTGAAATAAACATACACAGAGCTCCCAGATTTTACACTAGAGGATCTTATTATAGACTTTAGCCTGATTTCAGTACTGTAAGTCAGCCTGCTCAACTAAGGCTCCAGCAAAGCTCCTGATGCTTATTGAGATTTTTACACAATCACAATAGCTAAGGAGAAAGCTTACAGAATGCTACAGACTATTTTGAAGTGAACATTCAAAAATATTACGTTCTGCCAATTCATAGCTGGCAGGGATAACCTTTTTTGGTAGTTTAATTATTTGTAAAACAGTCCTAAACTGCCAAAAAATTGTAAAACAGTATTGATCGCTATCATTTAAGCACAGACCTTAAGATTAAAAAAAAAAACACTGTAGTGACGGTGTTGAAAGTTAAGAGCTAAAAGCATATTTTGTTCGAAAAGGCTGTGAGATAATGGTAGAGGACTGCCAGCTAAATTTGTGGCCTGGTTTTACAGGGATTGAAATAAGCATTTAAATGGTAAGTCTGAGTAACCAGCTGTGCAGGCAAATCAGCCTACAAATTCAAGCAAATTACATTCCTACAATGGCTCTGTTAATACCTGAGCAAACAGACGCCCATGGAACAGTCAAGAACAATTGAAAAATCTCTTCCGAGGGCTTTTCTCAGTGTTTTATTCTGTCCAACAGAAATTCTCCAATGAATGTTACTTGTAGCGCAAGAGGGATGACATTTTTTATTTCCTTTTAATCCAGGGCGTTGTGTTGTTAAACGTTCCAAAACCAAACAAAAGTAATCTCTAAACTTACAAATAATTATAATGGTTTTAATAATTTTAAACACTTAAAAGAGGAAAATAGCTTAACTAGGAAAAAGCAATTATATGTTATAAGCTACAAAACAAAATCCCTACAAATTCACTTAGGTGATTAGTTCCATCCTCTACAACAAAGACATGGACAACTCCTGGCTTCCCATAGTACCTTCCCCCTCCTGATCTTAAACCCTATCTGGACCAGGACCCTGCTATAAGGTCTGATATGCCTGATTGATCAACCCATTGGAATGGGACACACTCACTGCCACTCACACTACACATCGGCTTTCATACACTAACTCCAACAGAACTCACACAATCACAACATAATGCACACACATGCAATCATTCTAATACTGCCTTTCTACACAGAGCTCGTCCCTGGAGAGAAGGCAATTCTTGGGAATTATGGAGAGGAGAATTCTTCTCCTTAACAAGTTTGGATTTTTGTCTACTCTGCGCCTATGGTACCTTAAACTATATTACACTTACAATTTCCTTTTGACTTCTAGTACTGTATAACCCTGTTTGTATGTGTAAATAACTGTCAAAGAGCTCTGTGACAACTTGTTGTGAGGGGTGCTGTATGAAAAAACTCAAACTAAATTGAACTAATTACTTAAAAGTAGAGCCCGATTCCACAGTAAACAGAAATGCTCACAGCTGGTAAGTGGGAAGTCTAATTCAATCAAGTTGGTTGAATCAATCACTGATGGTACTATGCCATTTTACATAATGCCTATTGAAGGTCCTAAATCTACCATTCCTGGGGTATGAACATTAAGAATAAGCACTCAAATATATTATTCAGGTTTAACAGTAAGTAAATTAATAGCAATAGTGATTAATAGTAAGAGCAATATAAGGACCTTTGCTCTCAACATTGGTACACGGACATATTTTATAAGTGAAAAAGGCACAAAAACTCAAGATAGGTCAATGCCACATTAAAATTGCATAACCTGCACCTCAATATACACTCCAAATTGTGGAAAGTGTATCCAGGAATTCTGTGAGAGTGTTCTGTCTCCTTGCCCATTTCATCAGATTGCTCTACTGCGGACTGAGCATCCACCCACCTTCCCGGCGATGTACAGCATGTGGGTATCGGGGTCGTAAAAGGGGAACAGTACTCCTGAGGAGCCATCCAGGTCCACTTCCAGCAGAGACACCGACAGGTCGTCCTGCAGAGCGGACAGAGCAATCAGTCACAGGAGCTTCAACACAAACAGTGAGGTCCAAGTACACACAGGCACCTGGAGGCATTCTCACCCCAAAATACCACGTCAAAGGGTGTTTTTTTACAGCAAATTTGAGAAATTTCGGCCTGTTACTCAAACACCTGGAACTGTTTAATTGTAGGACAAAAGAGGAAAACAGAACTGGTGATCTAGAGATGGTGCAATGTACAATGTGCTGGATTTAACTTGCATCAGACAGTGGTACTTCAGGAACCTTTAATATGTCACAAGGAAGCACTTGTATGTGTTATATGTGCTCAGACTATTAGAGCTGTGATGTATGTTGCTAGAAAACACTGTTTCTTAATTTTAAACACAATAGCAGTCAAACTCCTTTTCTTCCAAGGGATATTCAACTTGCCAAGAGATGGGTAATAAACATGGGCACTGATGGTGGTCCCATTAACAAGTTTCTCGATGAGATTCAGTGCGATGTACAATCGAATAAGTACAGGTTGTGTGTCAGATATTTCACCCCAGAAATGTTCAAACATGATCGGCATGACGAGTTAACAAGTAGTATTTGTCAGCAAAACTGTCTCAAAGTCTAAATGTTGAATTCAATTAATTCAAATCAGCTGTTCAGAAGACGGTAAGGTCTAAGACACAACAAGTCTTAAAATTTTTCTTTTAGGTGTGATTTACCCTAAAATAACAATGTAAATGATAGAGCACTTTGCTCAACTTGAGTATATTTTAGATGGTTGGTAGGTTGCTTTTTTTTTTGCAATACTTAGATAAAGTAAATATTTATTTGCTGCAAGAAAGCCCGTCTTCAAGCCCAAATATCTTACTTGCTGAAAACTGCGGGTGTGTAGTATAGTAAACAGCTTACATTAATGCATATTTGGATACAGAAATATTTTTTTGAGTTTGATCTGTCTTTGTCAGAATTCCTCTGGATCTAAACAAGAAACGGAGTCAAAAATGGCACTTGAGAGATTTAATGGATGGTAGAAAAGACCAGATAGTCAAACCTTCTTATCATTGTTGAGGCCAGATGTTGATCGGGAATGTACAGTCTGCATTATAAAAGAAATCCTATTTTAAGCTCTATTATGAATGTGCAGACCTCTGAGAAAATGGCATCATTAGCAATAGTAATAATTCACCTGACAGCAGCCGGTCTTTGAGGTTAAGCAAGGCTGGGTCTAATCAGTACTAGGTTTGGAGACCTCTAAGAGGAACGAAGTTGCCACTGTGAGTGGTTTTGATGGAACAGGTAGGTGGCACTCATTTCTCTGAACCACAGTTTCATTCAGATGGTACAAGTACACGTTTGTTTCTCTAGAAGTTCCCCTCGATTCAAATTTCTCATTTTTCCATTTCATCTGCTGAGTGGTGGAGCTGCTGGTATAGATAAGCTGCCAGGCATCAGCTAGCTCTGTTCTGTATTTCAGTGGTAGATTAAGTGGGTCTCCTCCTTTATGGAAAGCACTTTGGGATTAAATGTGGTGTATAAATGCAAATACAGTAGAGTCTCGATTATCCGACATTCCGTTTTATCCGCCAAACAACCTGCTATATACTGTTTGCGTGACAAGTGAGAAGGGGAAGGAAAGTAGTCCTTTCAATCAGAATCAGTCATAGCGAAGGGGTCAAGGCTCTCGAAGCGCCACTAGTTTACAGTACATTGAACAACAACAGGAGGCAACTGCTACTGATGTCATGTTACGAGACCTTGCCGCACGGAAGAGAATCACATCAGGGAAACCGATTCCAATCACTCATTTTTTTAAATAATAAATAACAATAGCTCTATACCCTATTATTTTAGTAATACGGTAGATTAACCAGATATCATACTTATACTGCACTTCCATTAATCTATGATTTGTCTACTCAGTTTACGCATTATCCGACATTTTCGCTTCTCTGACATACTATCGGTCCCGTTTAGTTCATATAATCAGGACTCTACCGTAATAATTATTAATACCTGATCCCATAAAGCTATTTGTCTGTGATTCCATCGTGAAGTTCCAGTTGAAAGCAGCATCTTCAGATTTCCCAGAAACAAGACCTTGCTGGCTTTGTGTGACTTGCAGTTAGCCTCCTACAACCAACAAACATGCAGGAAAATCACATTACTTTGCCTGGTTTGCTGCCACTGTGTTTCCTGTAATACCAACAAAGGTTACATTCCACAAATTACAACTAATAGGTGCCAGATATACAAACAACAACTTCTTCATACAATTTAGCATTCAGAAGACATCAAGGTCAACCTTTCGAGCCATCAAAATAATTTAATTTCATGAGAATGCATCTCACTTAATATTTGCTGGATGAATTATGCAATATTATGACAAAAGGAGCTCACTTTGATATGGTGAAATTTTCTTTTTCCAATATTATCATTCCGCTAATATGAAATCTACCATCTACCAATACTTGGAGTGACCAGCATAGATAGCTTGGATTAGATAGCACAGATCCTGCTATTTGTTTGTAGCTACTATATTTCTTTTTGCATGAAGTACAAGTAATTTTGACCTGGATTTGAAAAACAACATGGGAGGATTTAAGACAAATATCTGTTTTCCCATGATAGAATTAGAGATAGATAGATACTTTATTGATCCCGTGAGGGAAATTGCAGTGCAACAGCAGCTTGACACACACAACACAGCCACAGTGTAACGAATTATATACTAATAGTACAATACATACAATACAATACAAGAGTTACTCACAGTCCGGACACACAAGATATAATTAGGACACACAATTATACTATATTATACACTATAATTATACACAATTATACAATTACACAATCACACAAGACACACAAGATATAATTAGGGTTCATGTGTCAAAATGAGTGCTACAGTCACAGACATTAATGCTTCATGCATTGTTTTGTTAAAATATGCTTTAAGACTATTGTGGAAGCGCCAGGTCTAATTGGCAAGACACTGGATGACCTGCAGTGAATAAGCCTGAATAAGGGAGACAGTGGAAAAAAAAAAATTTAGACTCAAACAACCCATGTGTTCGGGAGAAAGCTTGGATATCACAGGGAAACGTGTTAGGCAGATCATCCTTTCCGAATGGAAATATTTGTGAGAGCTGATACAGACCCTGTACTTTTAAATAGCCTTGAAGGGTAGGAAAAACCTTTTAATATGAGCTATAGCTCAGTGATATTCACTCATGAACCTTAAATGCCACAATACTGCCGGTTTTAAAGATAATCTAAAAATATTAATGGATGGAGATCTAGAAGCAGTGCCAATTTAGACAGATTGAATAAATGGCTTTTTTTCCCCATATACAACTCAACTGAAATGAAGTACACAAGACCCTATTGCTGTCCTGTACCACCATCATTAACACATCCTCTTTTCTAATATAAACTCACACAAAAACATACATACACACGCTGTCTAAACAAGTCTACATACCTGCAAGAGGGATCCTGTGTGGGGGTCAATGACTCTGGTCTTTTTGTCCTTGCAGGATGTAGCCAGCAGGCTGCCATCTGTATTGAAAGACATGGAGAGGACCACGTCGCTATGGACACTGATGGTCTTCACTGGGTTCTTGATCACCTGCTCTGGACAGTCCAGGTTCCACATCATTATCTGCAAAGCAACACACAGGACCATGGTCACAGTTGTTTTCTCTCTGTGTAGCAAACTGAGCAGGCTGATCAATGCAGATCATTTATTACCATCTTCCAGTGTGAAGAATAACTGATGACCATGGCAATTACAATAACTAAGGTAAACTGTTAATAACATACATTAAACTGATCTAGGTCAGGAGTGTCTTCTAAGTCTTTGGCAAATTAAAATGGAAATCAACCTTTAGAAAAATTAGCTCTGTTCATACATTGATATGTAGAATCTGTGTCTAAGTACTCCTTTTTATCGTATGTTGAGAGTTTTGCTGCTATAAATACAATGCATATAAGTATAACATTTGCTATTTACTACAGTTCTTACTACTACTTTACATTTCTGATCTCACATTATTAAACCATTTTTGTTTAAGTACTGATGCAGTACTCGAAGCAATAATATAGAATCAGATATTTTTCGTCATATTTCTTTAATCCACCACTTAACTTATACTGTAAGTAGGATATAGGAATTAGCATGATCTTATAAAAAATGAAAAAGCTAAGGTGACACCTGTTGTTATTCTACACCAATAAAACTCCAGAATTAAAAACCAAATCACAGAATTGATTTTGCTGATGAGAAGCTCAGTATCAATTTCAGCTTTGTAAAACAGAGGAATGTACATGAGTGAGGTCAATCACACATGAAGAGTGAGATGAAATACTTACCTTATAGTCATATGCAGTACTGAAGAGCACATTGTTAGCAGTGGGGTGCCACTCAATAAGCCCCACTCTCCGGGAGTGACCCTGAAGCTCTTTCCTGGGAACGGTGATATTTTTCAACACCCCATGCTTTGGAATGTCCCAGATTTTAACCTGTGAACCCAAAGACACAACCAGTTAATATCTTACATTCATAAATTACATACAAGTTACAAGGTGCATTGTCTTTGGCTTCCTTGTAAAAATGTTATTTTGTGAAAGTTACCTGTAAAATTCTAAAGGTGCAAAATCAGGACGACAATGACAAGTAATCAAAAGAGAAATGAAAAAAAGTTTCCACTGAAGAAAATATTCCACAGGATTTTAATAGGAGTTAGAAAAAAGCTTTGGAAGGCATTGCGTGACACATCTTTGTGAGCTGGGTGATGACATAATGTTTGGAAAAGGGAACGATCCTTTATTTTTAAGGTTCCAGCTATGACAGGCAGCTGAAATAAAAGGGCTTCTATGCACTGCAGAAATCACTTAAATACTATTTCTATGGGAAGTTTATATTGTAGTACAGTAATATGATCCATCTGGCAAAGACCGTCTTTGGGAAGTTTATTTTATCCAGACTGCTTTATGATTGTTTTTTTCCAGGCAACAAAAATGTATATCAGAAACAAATTGCCATGTAATTTGCAATTTGTCCCTGAAGGGTATGACCTATATTTAATAGTTACAAACCACTCATTGAGATTATGAAATTAATTATTTATTTTACAAGTAAAAGATAGGGCATGCACTGGCTTTTGCTGAAGCATGAGAAAAAACAAAAATCTTGGATGACAATTCAGATTTCTAACTATAAGTTAACTTCATAGTTTCTGTGTTATGTCTCTAAGGCCAAGTGGATTGAACTGTTAAAGTTCTGTCTCACAATGCAAAGCTGATGAAACTTCAATTTATCTACACCTCACAGTCAGACTATCATACACAGCACCTGAGTGATGAGACAAGCTTAGTTTTAAAAAAAAAATACATAGGGTATATGAAATGGCTTTTTTAATAGTGAAATGTAGCTTAGACTGGCATGGCGGGACAGTGGTTAGCATTGCTTCCTTGCAGAGGTGGGGTCCAGGGGTCAGTTCCTGGGGTGCTATATGCATGGAGTTTGTATGATTTCCCTGTGTTCATGTGGGTTTCCTCCAAGTGCTTCAGTTTCTATAAACATAGTGGTAGGTTAATTGGCTTCTGGAGACAACTGGTGAGAGAGTGTATGTGTTTGTGTCTTTGTGTGCCCTGTGACCCATCCAGGGTGTACCCTGCCTTGTGCCGATTGCTTTGTGGTTAAGGTTTCGGCTTCCCAGGGACCCTATATTGGATAAAGTGGTTAGAAAATTGATGGATATCAAGCTTAAGTCTTGACTTAGTTTTGTTCTTGGATACCAGATCTTCCCTTAGGGTGGGATTTGCCATCACTGGTTCAGGAGAGCTGTAATCAGGCAGGTCTTGAATTTATCCATTAAATCATCAATCTAAAGAGTAAAGAGTTGGTGGCATTTGATCAAATTAAGTTAATTAACTGGTTCCATTAAGTTGGTAATGGCCAAATAGTGTCCTTGGGAGCTTCAGGATGTTGGTATTTTAATCTCAAATTATCCTCTACTATTTAAGTGAAATAATTACCTGCTTAAACTGTTAAAAAGACATTTTATCAAGACTCTGGAAACTACTAATTGAAAAGGTGACCCATGAGCTCCACAGTGTAGCACAAGGTTTTACAGTTCTGAACGGACAGCTAATAAAGAGTATGTGTCAGGTCAGTTTGAATTGCTTTTAAACATTTCAGAATAGAATACTTAACTGCTTCTGAGTTACTGATTTTAGGACTATTCTGCTTGACAGAAAGAGAATCGATTAATTAGCAGAATTGGTTACCCAGAAGCTATCCTGGAATGCAAAGTGCGCAAGCAGGGCTATATAATAATAATTAATAAATATTCCTTACACTTATATAGCACTTTTCTGAACACACCACTCAAAGTGCTTTACAGGTAATGGGGACTCCCCTCCACTACCACCAGTGTGTAGCCCCACCTGGATGATGCGATGGCAGCCATAGTGTACCAGTAAGCTCACCACACATCAGCTATCAGTGGGGAGGAGGACAGAGTAATGAAGCCAATTCATAGAGGGGGATTATTAGGAGGGCATTACTGGTAAAGGCCAATGGGAAATTGCTGGATGCTGGGGTAACATCCCTACTCTTTTCGAGAAACATCCTGGGATTTTTAATGACCACAGAGAGTCAGGACCTCGGTTTTAGGTCTCTTCCAAAGGAGGACACCTTTTTATAATATAGTGTCCCCATCTCTCTACTGGGGCATAAGGACACACACAGACTGCAGGGTGACCACCCATACTGGTCTCTCTAACATCTCTTCCAGCAGCAACCTTACTTTATCCCCGGAGGTCCCCCATTCAGGTACTGACCACACCTGCTGAGCTTCAGTGTGTTGCCAGTTGAGAGTTGGACAGGATAAGATATCATGGACAGAAAGCCAGTCCGTCACCGGACTTGCATACAATGAAAATTCTGAGACAAGAGGTAGCCAGTATATTTTTGGAAGGTGGGGAAAAATGGAGCCTTCAGCAAAAATCAATAAGAATATGAGGGTACGGATGTTGTGAGACCCGCCTTGCACCAGGTTGCTCCTGTTCGTGGCCTGAGGGCATAGGTTTCTACACCAACTTCGTCCGACCCCCCTGAGCCTGGGCTAACCTCCATGTTGCCCTTTTTACCACTACGCTTAGGGTGGGTCTTATCTGCTCTCCTTCTCATTCCACGGCTTGCCCTTCCGACATCCGTGACAGTGCCTCTTCATGTTGAAATGAACTCAGAACCCAGGAGCTGCAAGGCAGCAGTGCTAACCTGCAAACCACCTGCATATCTGTGGAGCACAGCTGCCAAGAAAGAGGAGTCATATGAAAAAAAGAACAAATCTGTGTGTGGGGGGGGGGATATCTATTTCTAACAGCATGGAAAACAGCATATCTTACTGTGGTATCCTCTGAGCAGGAAGCTATGCAGTAATCATCGAAGGGATTCCACTTGACATCCAACACATTTCCCTTGTGACCAGACACGCGTGGGTGGAGAGGGTCGACTTTTCCTGTCTAAGAAGAAAAAAGGAAAGAGAACGTGAGACAACTGGTAATATGAAGCAAAGCATGAAAGCTCCATTTTATGCTTTGTTGTCCTCTTCAATGATAAACTATTTCATAACATAATGTTTGTGTATTACTATAAAATCAGAATTAAAGCAATTAACAGAATAAAAACATATTATTTTTGTAATGCAGAAAGAGGCTGAAGCTGGTATTTGAAGTTGACTATAATGTAGCCAATGTTACATACTGCATATTTATAATGTTTTATAAAGAACAGTATAGCAGTATAACAGCAGACAGGGCAAATACATGACATCATTCAAATCACAATAGGAAAGGTCTGATTACAAAATGTGTCAGTGTAAATTTGATGGAAAATTCCAAAAAGGTTATATCAAAAGACCTAGCTGCAATTTAATTTGCACATGGACTTTCCTTCATCTGAAGAAATAAAAATAATAATTATCAGGATATTTCTGGTTGGAATGTTTAGACTAAAATGCTATTTAAAGAAATAATTCCATCGCATGTGGCAAACTTAAATGCTACCCATATAAACCATTCCTATAACGGACATACAGTACGGTATAAAACACAAAGTCACTTCTGTTCTCTAGCCTTCCTTAACTTTAACCTTCATTTTTGTAGGACAGACATGTGCAGTCCAGGATTTGAAAAGATAGGGATGGGTTTTGGATTTGGCCGAGTGGCATTACAAACACAGGATTCAGTCCACAGTGTTGACTTCAAAAATGCCTTTGAGGATTTTCAATACATGAATCAGGTCCCTTCATAGCTCAAGACTAAAAAGATTTCTAAGAACATAAGAAAAATCACAAATGAAAGGAGGCCACTCAGCCTAAATTATTTTATTTTTAGATGAAATTAATTTGTGGATTTTACTTTGTCATTTTTGTTTGAAAGAAGCAATAATATGGGCTACGGCATCATGGCTGGGCAGCTTGTTCCAGTATCCCACAACCCTTTCCATAGAGAAGTGCACTCTGTTCTCAGTTTTAAATGCACTACCCTGTAGTTTCCATTTGTGTCCTCTTATTTGTGAAGATTCAAGGAAAATGTGGTTTCACAACCCGTTGCAAGCAGAATCAATTTTTCTGTGCGTTGCACTTAATAATAAAGCTGTGTTTTTTAAATCCATTCCATTTTCCATTTTCCATCCAATTTCTAACTGCTTCAACTATTTCAGGGACGTTGGGGAGCTGGGCCCTATCTTTGCAGGCCACAGCCACAAGGCAAGTAACACCCTGGATGGGATGCCAGTCCATTACAGGACACACACATACATTTCAAATTACTGTCAAACTGCAAGATCTACTGTACATAAATATAATTCTGAAAACAGCATTACCTTTTTTGGTTTAAATGGAAATTTTATGAAAGATGAGATGCAGAAGAAACAGCTCTCAGGAATTCCAACTTGCAATACTGCAAGAACAGTGTCTAAGAAACTGACATTGTGAAAGAGGCCACTGGAAGAAAGTTACGGTTGAAAGCTACATCTTGGTAGCTTCATGAAACATTAATAACCCTGCCTTGTTCTACACAGTCTGTGCCAACAAACATTCTTTGATTGTGTTTGGGATAGACGTATTGCAGGCATAATTTCAAAAGGAGAGTGACAGTATTACAATGTTTCGGACACACCGGAGACACAACATTTTGGCTGTGGAGCCATGGAGCCTGAACAATCCAAATACATACAGCTTTTGAATACGTTTTAAGGGTCAGGTATGTGTTAAGCATCAGAAACTCATTCTTTTATTTTATTTTTTTTGCTTTTTAAACATTTTGCAAGCATTGTCATGACTGGATCCAAAAGTTTTCTTGAAAAAAGGTGCCATATGGAGGTCAATAACAGGATTATTGTGTATGCCCACCCACACACAACCTTAATGAGCAGAGATAAACACATTCCATAATACTTTACAAGGTATGTATAAAAGATCCAGCTGTCATAAGAAACCACTTGTCCTTTAATGCCCAGCTCAATATCATAGATTAGTCACAGCTTACTTAAAAGCTTCAGGTGGGATCTTTATCAGGGTGATGCAATTAAGACCAGAGACAGCTCTATGATTAAAAGCTTCAGAATACTAGGAGTGGGAGAGTAATAAATTTCCTCTTGCCGACATAACCTAGTTGATAATGTAGGTGTTGTCTGACAGGAGTTATCATAAAAAGGCACAATAACTGAGTCATCTCAGGTATTCATTTTTCTTGTGCTTTTTCGTCAAGGGATGAGACATTATGACATTGCTAAACAGGTATGCAACTCTCATGCAAACTGAGGGAAAGAGAAATAACATTTTTTTTAATGAGGGACAGACAGATCTCTTGGTGTACCACACACAGGTGGTTCACTTAAAACGTCAGTCATAGCCTGAAAAAAAAAACACATGATGTTGTATCTGTGGCTAGACTAGACTGAAGAAATGTTGTATCTGTGTTCAGACTAGACTGAATCTGACCCAAACCACTTAGCACATGTACTGATGGTAAATTCTATAGGTTTTACCCAGCCTTTGGCTAAAAAATGCATGCTGAGTTTCAAAATAAAGTCACCATTCTATTCATGCATTTATGTTCTTAGAGAAATGAAGTACACAGATGTTGAATATTGAGCAAAGATGTTTGGGGTCATTTTAAACTACCTGATCATTCATGACTGACTGTGATACAGTCAAGTAGCTTTGACTGCCGTGTAACAATTAAATCACCTCATTACCGAGAGCTCTGACTGAGTAAAAGGGATGAGATTATTTAACCTGCTGATTGTCATGCTGGTTAAAAATCAAGAAAAAGCAAAGAACTAAACCAACATGCCCCACCTGACAAGACAACAACATCAGAAAGTGCAGTGCAAACATGCAGAACAATATATTAATTGGAGACCAATCAATGGGGAGGTCCAATTGTAATGATCTGTGCAAAAAGCATTTCTTCCAGGCATGGACAGTCCTCGTAATAGACAGCTGGTGTATCTACAGGTTTTCTAGTTCTTTTCAAAGCACCAGCATCTGAAGTGCTGGGATAAGTTTTTTAATTGGTTCTATGTATGTATTAATGAGATGATTTAAGCTAATGTTTCCATGATATTAAAATCCTGCCAACAAACCAGCCTTCCACAAAGAGGACAGTCCATTCCCTGGCTGAATTCCTACAGAACAGCATTTCTGTAGCACAATGTGAGATCATCTCCTGAGATCCCACTGGCTCCCCTTCCTACAAGCTCACCCTGACATAACAACATTTCAGCAGGACAACACTTCATGCTCCTCATGTAATAACAACTTTCTTGCAAGATGATAATATGACAGCTATGCAGTGGATATCTTACTTGCCACATGTCAGCCCCACTGAACAGTTTTGGATAACAAAAGATTGGATAGCTGGGATAATGTGGGATTTAGGGCTCAGAGACCAGGGAACAGGCAAATGCTTTACTTGATGGCAAGAGAGGAATGGGGCATAGACCCTTACAACAGTTTTTCCAATCTGGTGCAATGCATTCACATCACAGACATATAGTATGTATTTCTTCCAGTAGTGGCCACACATGTTGCTAGCCTGAGGCTTTCACAGAAGGCTGACTTCCTGTTGACAAATGATAACTAGTGTAATTAATTAACCTATCCCATATCGGTCAATTCAGCTTTTCCTCCTGCCCTTCCCCTTTGAAAGTTGACATTGAAACATATCAGAATTTAATTCTTTTGACATGTAAATAACATTGCAGGAATGCAAATAATGGCTCATAACAAGACATAATTTCAGTTCAGTGCTAAAAGCAGAATTCCAGATAGAGAGAAGTAATGTGAAAATCATGGATGACAACAAAAAGGACTTGCAAACTGATAAAGACTTTCTGCACATGCAGTTACAGTGGTCTTGGTCTGTTTGTAAAATTTTATTTTACAATATTGTTTTTATGCTGATTTATCATGTTGAGTAGTGTTGCGTAGTAAACGTAGTTGCGTAGTAAACTGTGACACAGCAGAGCCTATATCTGGAAGCATCTGTCTTGATACAGTGCAGAAAATCACAGTGAAGGCTTGATTACCCCAATGAACCACTGGAAAAATTGCAAAAATAGCAATTCTCCATAGCAAAAATTCATCAGGGTAACCTTCCAGCTAAGGTCCTGAGAGAGATTCCAGTTAGTCCCCAGAAAAGCCTGGAAAAAACTTTGCAGAAAATGTAGTGAGTACTTTAATTACATATGGCTTCCCCAATTCCCCCCATGCATATTCTTGAATATTTAGTTAATATGAGCACTGACTGCCATTATTGTAATCTCATTTTTAATGGCATTTTAAAATGGGGTGCATTCTTGAAAAGAATGGACTGAGGTTTTATCTCCTCCATCAGAAGAATGTGGGAACCCCATCTTTACAGGACGTTTGTGGTCTAATCTCAATTTGTGCTGAGCTGTTGGAACTCTGCATGGTATAGGATTCAATCAATTATTTTTGTTACCGAATGAACTAGCATTTTCTTCTATTTTCATTGCCAACTTTAATGTCAGGATTTATCTAATTAAACATATGCCATTGTCATGTACACTGATTCGTCAAACGGAACAAGTAACGGAGCTCAATGAAACAAGTATAATGTACATTGTAAATGTTCTTCAAAGGACATAGAAGCAAGGCAATGCAAACACAAAGCTGCTGTGTTTTCTTGTCAAACTGGAGGACATTGTACCATCAGTGCTTGGTTTATCCTTGATAAAGGGCTTGTTTGTGTCTGTGGTGATCCAGTACAGTATTCTTCAGAACAGGCTGTATCCAAAAACCCTTTTTGTAAATCTGATTTCTGGGGGTGGCTCAGTGAACTGAAGTGATGACATATGCTATGAGTTAATTCTTTCTGAAACTTGAATTTTGAGAAGTATTTTGGATCCAAACTAATTTGGCTGCTTAATTATTGAAGAAGAAGTATATTATTGCACAGGAAAAATTACAAGTATAGATTGTTTTTAAGAAAGAGACAATTATGGACTATGTGCTATATACGATGTATAATTATACAATATGTTTATTTCCATTCCTGCAGTGTTATGACTATGAGTGAGAGGTTGCTTTTAAGATATAATTACCCTGTCATAAATCAATTCCTCATTCCTGAGCTCAGTTGTATTAGTTGCACAGTAACCTTGTAAAGAGGATTGTACCACCCAATGAAGGGTAACATAATGAAGAACACTCAGCGATTTGTGACCTTTATGCTCATCTGGAGATAAGCTGAAACTTAAACAGTAATATCTAGTTTGATCTTTGTGAGAGCATAATTATAGGAGTAATTCAGCAAAAATATTGCACCTCGGCCATGATAAAACAGGGACAGTTTTCTAAAGCCTGTTTTTCTTACATGGTGAAGAGATATGACAAGGAAAGCTCCTCCTCCAGCGCACTCTGTGATGACAGCAATGAACTTGGGGTTGACTGCACAGAAGTGGTTGTCATGGACACTCCTGGTGATTGGCACCCCATCGTAGCAGTTCTCTTTGGTGGCAGGCTTACCAAACACATGGCGAAATTTGGAGCTTCGGTACTGAGGGCGCCATGTCATCTGAAAGAAAAGACAGACATCAGCTGGTTTTCTGAGAATCCGAGTGGGTACCATTGGTATGAATCAATACACATGCTGCAAAGGACCACAGATCACAGTGGCTTGTAGCTGCATTTAGCACTGGTGTGTTTGCCTTAAAAGTTGCAAATTAGAGCATGCAGTTCTGCAAAAGTAACACAAGACTTAAAAACACCAGGGACTGTTGTAAACATTTAAAAATATGACAGAACATTCACATTGCATTTTCTTAATGTATTAGAAACTGTGCCATCAAAGTGACAAAGCAAAGTAAATCTGATGTCTTGGAAATGATAATACTAATACTTTTAAGTATATTCCTGCAAACAAACCCCAAAAAACATTGATGGGTCATTATTCTCTGAATTTGTGACACCAGCATTTTTTGTCATTGAGTAGATTGAAAGAAGAAAGCAGAGGTCAGTAAAGTTAGAGAATTTGTAGTCAGGTACATTATGAACCTGACCATATCGTAAGATGGGAAAGTCAAGAAAATCACATTGACTGTAATAACTCAAGATGTCCTGAACTGAAGGAACCTTGGGAGAAGTCAATACGTCCACTTTTCAGGCCCGATGTGACAGTTAATCTATTTATCTTTAAGGGTTGAAATGCTCTGATCACATCTATTGGTGTAGTGTGAATGAGGCCAGCAGAGTGAGAATATGAGCCTAGGGTCATTCCTGATGACAGAACACGACATAATATTAATCTGCTCCACCAACCAGCCCTTTTGTGAGAGTACCCACGTCATCTGAAGGACTTTGGCACAGCAAATGGAAATTTCCCAACCTCAGACAACATACAGGACTGTGGGTGGTGTCTTTCTTGTGCCATTAATAATTATTGATGGCAGTTTTCCAATAAATCTGACAGAAGTTAACACAGGTAATCTCTGAAAAAAGAAGCCTTATTGGAAATGATGGGGAAACCTGCAGAGGACTGTACTGACAGTCTTGTGTGTGAGAAGCGTTTTTGTGAAGCACAACAGTATTTCCTATATCTAGTACTATAGGGCACACACAAACAACTCTGTTCTGTATCCCATCAATCCCTGAGGTAGTGGAGGCTACCCTCTGTCCTTGAAGATAGAAATACTTTCTGGTTTCTCTTCCAACCTGGGCTCCTTATTTACTTGACTGAACCAATTATTTCTTAAAAAGAACAAATTAAAGATATTTTACTCATTTCAAAGAAAGCAGGACTACAAAACAATCAGGGTTGCCCACTGCTGTCAGAGACAATCATTTTATAATCTACATGACCTAATGCTGCACTTAAAAGAATCAAATGGACAAATACTGAAAATTGCTGTGAATGAATAATTGTGCAACACGCTCATACAACCCACACTCCCTGATTCGATTCTGAGCACAGGGAACTGGCATCTAGTTCTTCCACAGCCCAACAGCCATTTTCAAAACATGTTTTAGAACCTGAAGTGAATTACAACCTGTGCTTAGTTGCAGACACTGTCACCGGGTCTCTGCAACTAATGTAGGATTGGCCATAACTGCTCTACACAACATACTGAAAGCTAGTGCAGTCTGTGGAACTGTAGGTGTACACGCCCTATCTCCAATCTGCACACTGTGCTGTGTTACACAAGCTCAGACAGGCACCCTGCCTGTAGGAGAATAGCCAACTACAGAAACCCTGAGCCAAATTGCTCAAACCATCTGGAGAACGCCCACATCAACCTTGAACTGCACACTTCAATCCACTCAAGTAGCAAAAAAGCAAGAGAGAAGGTGAAAAAACGACAGACTGTGACCTTGCAATTACCTTTAACATTACCTTCTTTGAAAAAAAAAACTTTCACTGCAAGAGGTGAAGTATACGTTTTCTCTTTGATTCATAAATCTTTTCATAAGCAATAATTTTGGCTTACAAATAACATCTCATTTCCTTACAATTGGTAGGATACTAGAAGGCCCAGGAGATTTTATAATCATGAGTTTCCAGTACCCAAAATACTTCTGAAGTTTCTACGTCAACACAATTTTATACAGAACATTGTCCTTCCTGTGCTTGGGGAATGTTGTTGACTTCCTCCTGAGTGGACTACTCATTTAAAATATAAGTCATTATCCTTTCATTGTCTAGAAGCCTCCCATTATTATCCCACATGCATTTAACTTCATCATTTACTGCACTTTTGCTGTCATAAATCTAAAAGCTTTTATTATTTATTAATTAATGCCTTGATGGCAACATTCTTTTTTCCCCTCTCTTTGGCCTTTCCAATTTCGTTAACAAGGTCCACTTATTTTTTTTAAATTTTGATGATAAAATTATTTGTTTTATTTTTCCATACATCGTTCTTAATTGATTTGTGAAACCGTTTAGGATACCATTTTTTTAATTTCTTACTCTTTGGATAAATTTGGTCTCCACATTAAGGTGAATCTCTTAAACTGTTGGCATAGAGTCTTAACTTATTCCACATCTATTCTGCCCCCATTCTATTTCTCTTACGCTCTGTCTCATTCCCTACAAGAAAGTGTGCTTTGTTTTGATTTTAACTTAAAAATGTCAGTTTCCACAAACTGTACACTTCAAACATCGGCATACTGTGATTACAGTTCCCTCATGGCTCTCTTTGTGCTGTTTGGATCACAGTCTTAATTGTTGGAAAAATGGGATCAATATAAAGCAGTCATTATCAATGAAGATAGCACACCTAAAGGAGGCTCCACAGCTGAAACATTGTGTTTGTTTTCTTCTCTTTTCAGCATTGAATAAACCTTTACCTGTTCCTTCGCAGCCTACACATGCTGATGCAGCTACAGTACCTATTCTAAAGTCATTATCAATGTCCGCCATTTCGGTTTCTTTATTCATTTCGTTGTTCTATAATCTTCCCCCATAAAAAAAAACTGTTGTTCTTTTGCATTGAAATTCTTGTTTTGTTATAGAATGTTGAATTCTTGTTTATATCTGAATTTTTGCATGAAAAGTTTGGGCACCCATGGTCAAATTGGATGTTTCATAGAATCTCTAAGTGAAAAAAAGTTAACACAACCTCTGCTGGGTATAAACGTAGTACACAGTTACTCTTTATTTGCTGAATTTAACAGTTATAAAATATAAAACAGTGAATGTGGCATACAACTGTATGCAGGGCTTCACCTCCCCTCACCTAACTCTCCCATCCCTCTGGAACATCATACAGTATATCCACCAATCTTGTATACATCCCCATCAATTTCAGACAGCCATGTTTCTGTGATTACGACATCAAAACGTCCTGCTCATGTGTACCTTCTATCTAACATTCTTCTACACAAATGTTCTTAACACAAATTTCTTAACACAAATGTTCAGAAACATTTTTCTAATTAATCAATGTGCATTTTTATTTATGTAGTGCCTTTTGATGGTAGGTACTAGCCAAAAGTACCTACTAGTACTTTTTTTAGCAGCTACTGTATATCAGCCTACAGCTCACAACTGGAAACCTACTGAAGCTAAGCAGGTGTGAGCCTGGTCAGTACCTGGATAGGAGAAAAACCTAGAAAGTTGCTGCTGGAAGTGGTGTTAGTGGGGCCAGTAGGGGGTGCTCATCCTATGTCCTGTGTGGGTCCCAGTATAGTGACGGGGACACTATGCTATAAAAAGGCACTGTCTTTCAAATGAGATGTAAAACCGGGGTCCTGACTCTCTGTGGTCATTAAAAATCCCAGGGCATTTCTTGAAAAGAGTAGGGATGTTACTTCCTATTGGCCTTTACTAGTCTCCTAATAATAGGCCTCCTAATAATACCCATCATTGAACTGGCTTTATCACTCTGTTCTCTTCCCCACTGACAGCTGGCATGTGGTGGGTGTACTGGCACTGCCATCGCATCATCCAGGTGGGTTCTACACATTGGTAGTGGTGGACAGGAGCCCCCATTAACTGTGAAGCACTTTGAGTGGAGTGTGCGGAAAAGCACTATATAAGTGTATGGAATGATGATGATGATTATTATTATTAGGCTACATATGGGGATATGAATGTGCAATTCTAGAATACAATGAAACAAATAAGTCAAGCGGAATGAATGATGTTGTGTGAGTTAATCCCTTCTAAAGCACTGTAGGCCTCATGTCTAAGCAGACACAGCTGTTCTAATCCCTTTTCAAAACCACCACCTCATTTGTATTGTTTACGAGCCTGTGACAAACCCTCTTAACAATATGGTTATCCTGCCATATAAACAAATACACATATTTCATTAAGAACTGGAACTCCCTAGAAGGAATCAATGTTTTGCATAGGCCAAATGAACATGGTGAAAATCTGATTGAATCTTTTGTTTGCACATCATTAAAATGTAAAGTCTTTCACACACCTGAGTGCCTCACAAGGCTGAGGTGAACCTTGCTTCAGCAGCATGAAGTAGGACGACTGTAACATTGTCTGGGTGGGATGCTTATTTCAAATATTGGTTTAGGGGGCAAATTTTGGGCAGCACAGTGGAAAGCATTTCTGCATGGCAGCGCTGGGATCCTGTGTTCAGTACTAGCCCTGGGGTCTTATATGTGTGGAGTTTGCATGTTCTCCCCAAGTTTGTGTGGGTTTCTTCCCACAGTCTAAAAGTATACTGGTAGGCAACTTGGCTTCTGGGAAAATTGGCGTTAGTGTGTGCATGTGCATATCTGTGTGTGCTCTACAATGGACTGGTGTCCTGTCCAGGGTGTACCCCACCTTGCTGAGATAGGCTCTGGCTCCCCTGTGACCCCATAGTGGATGAAGCAGTTAGAAACTGCTGGATGGATGGATAGTCAAACTTTCCCAAAGCAACATGCTGAAAGAAGACATTTTGTCATGAACAGAGACAGATATCTTAATTTATATGCCCTAAACAGGTTAATAATAGTAATGATGGTGATGATGATATGATGTAGCTCCCACCGGGAGTATGTGAACGCAGCCAAAATACTCCAATTCACTCACCACACATCATCTCTCAGTCGGGCGGAGAACAGAGAGATGAA